GGAAAGCTCAAAGTTGAGGAGACTACCATCCACCCATCAACAGGCTAAGTATAATGACCTTAACCTATAACTTAGGGAATTACGAAATGATTAAAGATTTAATCATAATTTATGAAAATTAATTAGATGAGAGGTCTAATTAGAAGAATTAAAGTTACCTTGTGGAAAAGGTTGAATAGTGACAATTTATGGGGTAAAAATATGGATAGCAAAGTTACCAGAAAGTTAAAAGTAAAATAGTAAATATTATCACAAAAATATTATATGTCAATGTGACAAGTTTGAAAGGAAGTTAAGTGAGCGGGATAGATAAGTTTATACCCACATTGATAACATAACTCACTTAAGTTGTGTTTCAAACACACACAACCCTCATTTTTCTCTTTTCTCCCATTGGATGCTCCCTCTTATTCAGCCAAAGAAGAGCTTTTCTTCTTCTCCCCATTGTGCTCCTTCATCCCTTAAGAAACAAGAGAGAATTACCATCATTGTTCATCCTCCATCACTTTATTTCCTTCCTTTCATCTTGTGAGAGGATTTTGAGAGAGAAAAACTTACCCTAAAGCATTGTCATTGCGGGTTTGGAGGAGGTGTATTTTATGATTGGAAGCTTGAGTTGTCTTCAATCAAGTTTGTGAAGCCTCTAGGTAAGGTTGTATAACCTTTCCCCTTTGAATTTTGTGAAAATATCATGACTTAGGGTATGGAAAATTAGGAATTCGAAGGTATGTAAGTTGAAATATGAAACTATCTGTAGAAATGCATGTTAGTTGATAAGAGAGTTCAGTTTTGGGGTTAAGTTACCATTTATGCATATGCTATTACTTTGGCCTTTGTTCAGGAGGGATTCAAATCATTTTAGAAGAGATTCGAATCCCCACTATTTAAATGACAAAATTTAGATTCTGAAAGGGAGGGATTCGAATCCCTACTGCTATAATGAGAACAACACAATAAAACGTGTATGCCAGGGGTCTCCAAATTGAATGCAGTTTGAACCTATTGAAGCTAACAATAATTGGGCTAACCTCATGGGTCAGTTTCACCCTATCTTTTTTTTTTTGAAAATATTAAAAAAAAGGTCCATGTAAGTAATACATACATTGATACAATTTATGTCTTTTTTTTTTTGGTAATAAATTTATATCATTTAAACTAGGTATATTTTCACATGGCGCATTAAAAAATTTATTTGAGTAACTTTTTATTAGTATCTTAAAAATTAAAAATGAAGAAAAAAATATTTCAAAACGAATACAAAATGATATTTTTTAAAAATTATGGGAGGAAAAATACAGTATATTTATCTTAAATTGACTTGAAGATTGATAATGGTACCCAAAAAATGTAACTCAATTGGCAACATTAGCTTTCGGAGGGGCGAAGAGTTTATATGTGACTAAGCATACATATCTCAAAAAAATAATTATGGTCGATATAAAGAAAATTGATGATGGTGTTAGAAAAAGGTGAAAGAGAGATCCAAATACCATAGAGGATTGCTCCAGTTGGACTTTGGAAGTTGAGCTCTGATCTCTTCATTTTGTTACAAACTTAGTTCACGAAGATTAGGTAAACTTCCAGGGCGCGTTTAATTGAGGAGAAATTTTATGAATAATAAGGAAATGATATTCATAGAAAAATGGTAGAAAAGTAAGTTTGGTAGGAAAATATAGAAAAAAGTTGTTTGGTTGAAAAAAATTTAACCGGGAAAATTAGATAACTTTTATAAAGTCTATGTTTGGTTGTAGATAAAATATAGATGAAAAAAAAATTGATATTACAAAAATATCCCTGTTTATAATTTTTTTTTTGAAAAGCATGACAAGTGTCTTTTTAGTTTTTTTTTTTGTGGCTTCCATTTTAATTTGGATACTAGGTAGGAGGATTAGTTAGTCGGTTGACATCCTGCATAGTTTATTTGGCCGGCTAACATGCAATAATACTATGTATCAAGAGGGATTATTTGGCTGGGTTTCTCAAACAGATTACTATGCAAATTGTTTCAGTGGGATAATCATTTAAGTAGCCATATATTCCAAATATTTAAACCAAACAAAGGCATCCAATTATCCCACTTCTCAAATACCCATCTATCTCAACATAATCCTCCAACCAAACACCCCCTAAGGATTTCTGTTGGCAAATTCCCATGCAATCCCTTGTGTGCAATACTTAGAGAGACCAAAGAGGGTGACAAATTCATTAGCAATGACAAAGAGCTCTCTCTGATTGAAGACATGTCTACGCCATCTATAAGAAGCTCTCTTAAATTTGTTGTGTTAAGAATGAGCTTCTTCCTGTGGATGGATCATCTCTCGTCAAACTCAAGCCTCTGAGATCAAGTGATACTAATTTTGATAAGTGAGAGATTGTGGAGGGAATATTACCACCGATTGCAGAGTGTGATAACTTTGGATGTGTGAGTTTCACAAGATCATTAATACCAGAATATATTGAAGAGCCAGAAAAATCATTAAAAGCTAGGTTGAGTTGTTGAATGTGTCTAAGTTTGAAGATGGTGCTATTGGGAAGGAATTCACCTTTGAGATTGCTGCAACTGAGGTCGAGACCAATCACATCCATGCCTCACACAACAAGAACAAAATCCAAGTAAGTCTTCCAAAATGTGATTGTCATTATTTTCATTATTACTGTAACATTGAATATGATTATATTATATAATTCCCTTCCAAACTAGTTGTGGAAGAATTCAAGATCAACTTCCTTTCCCAAATCGTTTGAATGAAATTCTTTTTTCACTTTCTCTTGGCAGTTCTTCGCTATGTATAGCTATACTTTATTTTTTGGGATATTGATGTAGCTCAATTCTGAATCTCTTAACTGATATTTTCATTTAATCCGAGTATTTCATTCATGGAATTTAGAATTTATCTTTTGTGCTTCAGGCTATTCATTGATTGAACTTGACATTAAAGGAATATTCTATGCTGTAAGGCCTTGTAGCTTAAGATAATTATCACAACAGTATTAAGTATAATACTGTACTAACCTCCAGAATGGATTTATTTTCAGCATCTTATCTCAAGAAAATTTTGGTTTTGTTTTATAGACCAAACCGTACCGTGTCCATCTTTTCCTATGATAGATTGAAATTGAGTTACTACGAACTATTATATTATTAAGATTTGAATTCCCTATCAACGCTGAGAACGTATTTTTCCATTTATATCTCAATTCATAGAGAGAAAAAGAGTGAGAATCAAAGATCATATTCTAGAAGAGCACATCCATGCAAACACATCCTTTTAATATACTTGGGAGGTAATTTTTAAATCATACCTAATTAAAGGAAGAGGAATTTGCAGAATAGCTTACACTTTGTCAATCACTACCAGGTTAACATGTGGCACAACAAATGATAATCATTAATTGTCAGAAATCTAACGATACTTATTTGGCGTCGAATTTCAAAGTTTGACAACAACATCAAAGTATCTTATCCCATTTTTCATAAATCATTCAGACACCGAACAACTGGTCAAATAGCACCGTGTGTAGCAATGGAGTTGACAGACTTTTGCTGGCTGTAGCTATGCTGATGTGACGAGGATATTCATCCATTACCCTCCATAAGAGAGAGGGATAGAGGAAAGTTATAGAAGAGTAAAGGACTCCAATCACGTATAATCTCCAAAAAAATAAAAATAAAAAAGGACTCCAATCATGTAAGACTTGGAAGGTATGCTCTTGAACTCTTGCAGAGAATATTTGGACTTCAACCTCATGTAGCACCCTATTTGGAAGTCTTTTGCGGGTTACAGCTTCGCTGATGCCACAAAAAAATTTATTTATTAACATCCACAAAAAAAGTTTCTTAGGAATAGAAGAAAATAAAAACATGAGTAAATATCATTTTTGATCTTCAGCAAATTTCACGATACCCGCTCTAGTTCCTAGCAAATAAAAAGGCTTTTCGTGGTTCTAAGAAATTGAAAATGGATCAATTTAGTTGAAATCATGATCCCTCACAAATTTAAAAAAGACTCATAGGACCACGAATAATCTTTTTATTTGCTAAGAACTGAAACGACCATGTAAAATTTGACGAGGATAGAAAAGAATATTTAGTCTAAAAACATTAGTAGGATACCCAGAAGGGTAGACTCGAACTTCTTGGAACTTTTGCTCATCTGTCATGTATATTCCGATGTGGAAAATATCTTTCATTACTCTCCAAGCACCGAAGATCTTCAGTACACCATCATTTATTTAAGTTGAAAAATATCAAATTGTATTTATTTCACTCATCATAGTTAATGTCGTATAAATCTTACTTTTTCCTATTTTTAATAGATAAAGAGTACCTACTTCAGTACCAACATATACCCCTCCATTGTGCAATGCAGGATATTAGGCATTTTTTTAAGGGAAAGTCGTGACTGATAATATAATTATCCTACTTAATTATACCAATCCAGTTGTATCCTCCTGATCAGCTTGCTTAATTCCTATCCATTGTAAAATTTCATTCGTCACATAAAATTTCCACAAATTAATAAATGGGATTAATATTTATCTTTTTAAAGGGTATACAAGTATTTTATTTTAGTTAAAATTACAATAATTTATAATAAGAGAAACAGAAATCATGATAAATAAATTAAGAGTTTTTTAATTTGAATATTAAATAAAAAAATACTAGTTTTAATTAAAGTTACTGTCTTTTTAAAGGACAAATATTTTTTCCTTAATAAAACCAAATATTTTTTATTTTTTTAAAAATAATTTGAGGATAACTGTTATGTCTTTATTTTTTGTCTACCGCGTGTGAAGTATACATATTGTTCCTAATAAAATCCTGATCTTGTGCTGATTGAAGGGTTGAATGCGTGCGTGGGTTTTCCTTGAAGCCTTTGCAGGTCAGTATTATGAAAATTTACGACAATTTAAAACAAGAGCAAATGATCACTGATTTTTCTTATTTGCACGACAACTTGAAATAAATCACTCAATGGTAAAAATAGAGATAAAACTTCATTCCTCAAACAGAGAAGTTAAAATTACAGAAAACTGCATATATGCATTAAAAAAGAAACCGTATCAAACTAATTTCTTCCTCTACGGTTTGCACGGGCTCTGTTGCTTGTCCTTTTCACTCTTTCATTAAGCATCCCTTCAAAAAGTCTCGCAAGCCATTGAGGTTTCCCAGTTAAGAACACATTACATCCCAAGAGCATTCCAAATACCATCCCACATGCATATCCCACTACTACAGCTTTCCAGCCAAATCCTGATTCTCCATGATCAGATGTTGAATGTGGAGGCCATTCTTCATGCTTGTTGCATGATTTTGTCAGAGGCAATCCACATAGCATTGGATTTCCTTCATATGAATCATTTTCAAATGTGTTAAACTGGCTCCCTGTAGGTATGATTCCCTCAAACTGGTTTTGTGAAAGGTTCAAGACAGAGAGAAAATTCAAATTTGTCAAATCCATGGGAATCTCACCTGTCAGCTGGTTCCATGAGAGGTCCAACCATTCTAAATTTCTCAAATTACTCAAAGATTGTGGAATTGTACCAGTGATTCCATTGTGGGAAAGGTTAAGCCCTCTGAGAGAATTTAATTCTCCAACAACACTTGGAATTTCTCCTTCAAACATGTTGTTTGATAGATCAATAGTTGTGAAAGTAGTTAATATCCTCACTAGCTCCATATACTCACCTTTCATTATGACCACTACTGAATCATTATATGATCTGTATAACGATCTGTAGTGACTCATATATTTCAAACCAGTTTGGCCTTCATTAACATTCATCATTCCTTGAAAGTTCTTGATGCATGACGCTGGCAAGGGGCCACTAAACTTGTTATTGGAGACATCAAAAATTCTCAACTTGGGAAATGGATGCTTGGTGCTGGGACAAGTGATGACACCATGAAGTTTATTTGATCGTAAACTAAGTACCTGTAACTCTTGTAAGGTTTCAAGCCAACTGGGAAATGTATCCTCTATGTTATTCTCTCCAAAATCCAAAACTTCAAGTCCTGTGCAGTGGGCCAAAGACTGTGGTAAAGGTCCCTCCAATCGGTTGCCGTTCAACTTTATAGTCTCAAACGCATTTCCCTTAGAAAAGTTTCTAGGTATTCTTCCGTAAAGGTTGTTCATTTGCAAATCCAACACCCGAAGAGAAGGAAATGTTCCCAGGCATTGTGGAATCATGCCTGAGAAGTTGTTGTGAGCCAAGATGAGCATAGAGAGGGAGCTTGCATTGCAAATTGTTGAAGAAATGTCTCCTGTCAAGTTGTTATTTGAGACTGAAAAGAACTGAATGCCATACGGTGGAATTGGAAGATCTCCTTGCAACATGTTGAAACTGAGATCAATATATTGAATGTCCTTCCACGAGAGTAAGAGCTTCTCATTAAACCATTTGGGAATTTTTCCATGAATTTTGTTATTAGAAAGATCTAATTCTTGCAGATTTTGAACTCGTTCTAAGAATTTAGGAAAAGTGCTCATATTACAGGAAGATAAATATAAAACGTCAATGTTGGATAAGAAGTAGTCAACACTGCTATGAAAGTTAATAGAGAGAAAACTATTGTGAGAAAGATCAAGGAAGATTAGATTTTTAAACTTTGAAAAACGGTGGAAGTCTACAAGACCACTCAATTCAGTTGATGACAAACCTAAGTCGGTAATATTTTCCAAATCAAATATTGAATTAGGAAAATTACCTTGAAGTTTGTTATTGGAGAAAAACAAATATTTCAAAGAATAAGTTGAGAATCCACTAATTGACCCCGTGAGCTGGTTGTCATTAAGATCTAACTCTGTCAACAAAGGCAAAGAATAACACCAATGCGGAATTGTTCCATTTAACATGTTAAAAGCCAAAGCTAGAAGACTTAATTTTGAAAGTTTAGTGATTTTACTAGGAACGGGGCCTACTAATTTATTATTGGCCAAATCTAAGTGAGAAAGTTGTGTTAGATTAAACAATGATGATGGAATTTGGCCTGTCAGGTTATTGCTGGAAAGTGAAAAAAATTCTAAGTTGATAAACTTGGCAAACACATCCGGGATGTGACCAGTAAAATTATTAGATTGAAGATCAAAGGAAGTGAGATGTTTAAGATTTGAGAGTAGTGATGGGATCTCACCGTTAAGGTTGTTGTATGGCAGGCTCAAAAAGGTTAGTTGAGTGAGGTTCCACAAAGATAGAGGAAGCGATCCATGAAGATTGCAACCCCTAAGACCTAGGGTGTTAAGAGACTTCAAATGACCTATGGAACTGGGAATTTCTCCTGAGAAAGCGATGGAACAGAGATCCAATCACGTGGCCTGACATGGTTTCGCACGTGACCCCATCCCATTGGCAACAATTTGTGCCGTTTTTCCAAGATGCTATATTGGAAAAAGAAAGAGAGGAACAACGAAATGGAGCGTGGGTGTCGAAAGCATACGAGTTTTTGAATTGTAACAAGGCAGAGTTGTCATCATGATTGCACAGCGGCAATAGTGAGCAATTGTAGGATGGAAAAAGAAGAAGCAACAAACATTGGATAAAACATGGCAACAAAAACCACCCCATGTTGAAGAAATATCGATATTGTCTCAGGTTTAGAAACTCGATCTTTTGATGTTCTTCTTTTGAGGTAGGAACGTAATATTTATAGCCAGTTGCTCTTCTAACTTTGGAAATGACTTGGAAAAAACATGTGAGACTTGGAAGGTATGCTCTTGAACTTTAGCTGGGGAGGATTGGACTCTTCAACCCCATTTACCAGTCAATTTGCAAGTCTTTGGCTGGCTATAGCTTTGCTGATGGGACAAAAATAGTCATTTATTAACATCCACAAAAAACTTTCGTAGAAATTGAAGAAAATAAAAGCATTAATAGGGTACCCACGACCACGAGGGTTGACTTGGACTTCCCAAAGTATAACTCCAGTTGGACAAGTTTTGCTCATCTTGCGAGGGATTAATGTTTGGGAAAAAGAATAATAATGTTGTAAGAGACTTCTTAGGTTATGTTATAAAAATAGGGATTGTGGGATCACACTTGTTTAAAAAAAATAAAAAAATAAAACAAGTGTGGGTCCCACAATCCCTATATCTATAACATATCCTAACAACTATCCTACAACATTATATTTCTATTTCTCTTAATGTTTATAATAATGTTAGAGATAGATTTATTTTTTACATACACAGAAAAAAATGTAGAATTTATATATTTTTTCTTTTTATATGAGCCTCATGTATTTTTATATTCGTTTAAAAAATAAAATTATCTTCTATAACAACACTCATTTAAACTAGAAAAATAATTTAATTAATTATATTTATTCTACTTATCATGGTTAATATTACATTAATCTTATTTTTTATTGCATTTAAGTAAATGAGCCTCTTCAATATAGTATTGCGGCTAGAGGTGGCAAAGTGGGCGACCCGCCCCGCCCCGCTATCAACTTGCCAAAAAATGAGTCAGCCTGCCCCACTCCGCTTTTGAAAGTGGGCTGAAAAATTCAGCTCATCCCGCCCTGTTTAGCGGGTTGGGCGGGTTGGGTCGTCAGTCCGAACCTATTTTACACTGACCCGCCATTAACCCGTCAAAAAATGAATCCGCCCGCCCCGCCCCGCTTTTGAGATGAGTTGAAAAACTCAGCCCGCCCCACTTCGTTTAGCGGGTTGGCCCGCCGAGCCCGTTTTGCCCGCTCTAATTGCGGCACAGCAAATGTACTAATGTGGAAATAGTCCCGTATTTTACACAGCAGCGTGTAACATTGATTGATTAATAACTCTGCTAAATTGCTATTAATACGAAATTAGTCATATATATCAATCATATGAAACTTGCCAGCATATGATAACTGGAAGTTTCACGTTAACTTGCGAAGTTGATGGCATTAATTTAATTATATTTTATAAGTGAATTACTTTGATAATTATTTTTTGAATCTTCTCAACTGGTTCATCATCCGGACTAGTCCAGTTCAAGTATTATCAGACTCCAAGCGAGGGGCGATTCTCCTAACACTATTTTTTTATTTCTTAGAACTCGAACTCGAGATCTCTGATTAAGAAACACAAGTTTCTTACCATTGTGCCAATAGTATTTGGTGATAATTATTTTTTTAAATTTCACTAATATAAATTTTTGGCAAAGAATATTTTATTTCTCTTATATGAAATCTAAATAGATAAAATCTATCATAAACTTTACTTGATTTCATATTTTTCTCTCTCTTAATGATATCTTCTCTATTTTCTCCAATCTTCATGCAATCTTGAATACTGTTTCAAATCAGAATAAATATTATTATAAAATCAATTCATTAGTAATTTTAAAACAATAAATTATTATCAATTAAATTAACATTAAATTAATTATAATTATCAAAATATATTTTAAATCAATTAAACAACGAAAGTATAACAAATATCTGTCCATCTTTTCCTATGATAGATTGAAATTGAGTTACTACGAACTATTATATTATTAAGATTTGGATTCCCTGTATTTTTCCGTTTATATCTCAATTCATAGAGAGAAAAAGAGTGAGAATTAAAGATCATATTCTAGAAGAGCACATCCATGCACCACATCCTTTTAATATACTTGGGAGGTAACTTTTAAATCATACCTAATTAAAGGAAGAGGAATTTGCAGAATAGCTTACACTTTGTCAATCACTACCTGGTTAATATGTGGCACAACAAACCCACTTGCATGTGGTTCCTTTAACCAGATCTTACAAAAGAATTGTAATATGAAATACATTTTCCATAAAGAAATAATAGTGATATCTCAAATAATAATCTAGTACATATTGAATGACAAGATTAACAACAATTTCATATATCAACAGCTTGTCATCCTCCGTAGTAGTAAATACAGAGGTTTCTGCCCCACAAATTCTCTTCCAGATTCTTTTAATTTGAATTTATTAAGCAAGGGCCGTGAACACATGAGAATTAGCCTTTTTGATGAACAGCAATGTGGTGTATGTCCATGTCCTTCAACATCACTGAACGCCCACAAGAATCACAGGGGGCAGTTCTAGACCCACAAATACTCTCATGCTCAGACAATCCTCTTAATCTGTCACGGACGTCCATGGCAGAATTTCCAGCTTGAACCATATCACCACAAAACCGGCATGGAATTAAACGCAAGGGGCATATTGAAGCTTGGTGCTCCACCTACCAAAAAAAGTCAATAATTTCTTCAGATAGATACATTTTTAATAATTTGCACATCTTTCATATGAATTTAGATTGAAAGATTTTATATTTCCTTTTATTGACTAAAGACATTAATTGAATCCTGACAATCAACAATAACCAGGACCACATTTGTTAATAATAAGATTAAAACTTTAATTCATAATTATTTAACTAAATTGGCAACAAAAGACAAACTAAATTTCTTGAGGTCCCTTCCACACCTTAATTAGGAATTAAAAAAAAAAACACACACTTCAAGAATTTCCATCTTCTCCTTCCATCTTCTCTCAAAGGAGGCAATGTCAAACATGCTCATTGAAAATATATTCATCTCATCAAACCTCTAATTCAAAAAGTTTTTGATAGGCAGGAACCCTAATCTCCAAAAGTATCAGAACATAAAACATTTTTTAATATGATAGATAGAAAATTCGAGATCCCTATCATTTGGGATGAGAATCGACAATAGGGGTATATATATATATATATATATATATATATATATATATATATATATATATATATATATATGAGGTAGGATCCTTTGACACCAGTGTCAAATTTAAAATTTGACACCTCATCTGAGAGCCATTAGATCAAAAAAGATTAACGGCTCTGATTTATAAGCATGTGACACCATTGATCTTTTTTGATCTAACGACTCTCAGATGAGGTGTCAAATTTAAAATTTGACACAGGTGTCAAAGGATCTGCCTATATATATATATATATATATATATATATATATATATATGGGTTTGATGTTTGTCATTTTAAATAACATAAGCTTGTCATTTTAAATGACATAAGCTATGTCATTTAAGGAGAGAGATAGACACAAGAAATGGAAATCATTGGAGAGAGAAAGTGGGTGTTTTTTTATAATTTAAATTTTAAATAAAAAATTTATTTTGTGTCTATCTCTCTCTCTTAAAATGACATAACTTTATGTCATTTAAAATGACAAACACTTTTCCCTATATATATATATTATTTATTAGCTAAATATCACATAGTTCTGCTTCCAAGCGGTTTGAAATTTAAGGTCCCATCATAATTTGCATGGCAGTCAATCAATAAAAACAATCTAATCTTGCAATGCTTCTAATTGTTGATTATTGTTATGTAATAAATACAGGGAACTGAATCTTACTGTTCACTGTTCAATTAGAAAGAGGAAATAGAAAAAAAAAAAAAAAAATTAAAAGAAAGAAAACAAGGTGGTTAGATACAAGGAGTCAGTCAAAAGCTACCATATTATTAAATGTATCGAATTGCAGAGGACTCAGAAAAGGCTTCAAACTAAACTCTTATCACTAGGTGTATGTTTGGTAACTAATATTTTTGGGGAAGTAGTCATTTTCTTTTTTCAAAAGCTCCCTCAAGAAGCTTTTAATTAAAAGCTGTTTTTCTTTTAAAATAAAATAAGCTAATCCAAACACCTTCCAACTTTTAGAAGTTTCCATCACGTCTGTTAGCTAACCTTAACAATTAAACTTCCATTCTTCTAAATTCTGTTTAAATCGACAAAAAAGAATTCCTAATAGAAAATTTTCTAGCACAATAATAACATACTATGCTTTCAACTGGAAACTGCATAATTATTCATTGCCTACTCAACATTGTTTGATAATCAAATTGAAATAAGATGAGGGATTTTGCAATTGATTATCCAAATTAAACACATACCTCAGCAAAATATAAACTCAGACAAAATGGCACCAAAAGAGCACAATAAAATAATGGATCACAGATGTTGAGAGACAGAAAGAAGAATACCAATGGGGAAAATAAAAAAGTAACAGAATACTAAAAATAATAGGTGTGACAAATGCAACTCACCATTTGCTCTTTCTCAAGGATTATTCCACAAGGGCAATGAATTGGCTCATGAAAAACTTTCATGTGCTTTTCCAATTCTACCTGCTGGAAAGCTTGACCACACCTGTCACAGTGAATGTGATTCTTGGACTCCTCGATCCTAAGAACAACTCCACAGCCTACATGCTGACAGACAACATTATGCCTGCTACAGTAAGCTTCATGCAGTGCAATAGTCCTAGTGGGTATGTAATGTTTGCAGTTCCTACACTGCTGAG